TATGGTGTCTGGTATTCTGTGCATGTAGTTTCTAGCTAAGAACAGCCTTGTGTTAAGAAATTAGATACGTGCAACATCTGGTATCTTTAATTTAGATAAATGGTTCATAGAACCGACAAAATTGATGGGCTAATAACATCGACTCCAGGCTGAGGGACTGACTGTCTCATACTCCTGATCTTCGCTATACAATACATGTCCATGTATTGTATGGATGAAGCCATTGAATGGTGAAATATCTACTGAGATGGTATAAACCTTGGTAATAAATATCGACATTCTGAGACAGAGGCTCACTGAAAACCACGACCTCTTTTTACCTCTTCTAGAATTCATCAGTCTAGTGGATCTCTGTGTTAATTTCAACTTCTTCAAGTATCAGGACAACTGTTACAAGCAAACTTTGGGATGGCAATGAGCAGCCCGCTCAGTACTGTGCTTGCCAACCTCTTCATGGAAAACCTAGAGACAGAGAAATTCAGCACCCTCATTCCCAACACCGTTACCTGGTTAAACACGTTCATGATATATTGGTTTTCTATCCGAGACGTCTCAATAACCAGGTCCTTCTCAACAAGATCAATGCAGCCGAACCATCAATAAAGTTTACACTTGAACTCGAAAACGATGGCAAACTTCCTTTCCTCGACGTCCTCCTGTGCAGATCTCCCGACAGTGACAAACTTCTTTCCAAAGTGTATAGAAAACCTACCAACAAGGACGATCTTATACACTTCTATTCACACCAAGACACCCGCACTAAGAGAGGAGTCCTCATTGGCTTCTTCTTGAGAGCTCTTCGCATCTCCAGCCCTTGTTTTCTTGACGAAGAATATATTTACATAACACAAGCTTTTACACGTCTTCAGTTTCCATCTTTCTTCATCAGAGATTGCAGACTCAAGGCACAAGCTATCCTCAACAAGCCGCCCATGGAACAGCCCTCTAAGCAGTTCATAGTGTTCTCATGTGGTGATGTTGCCACGAATACTCGCCGGACACTTGCTGAGAGTAACATGAATAAACACATCATCAATCAAAAACCTCACTACGAAACGCAGCCGCACACCTCTAACTTCCACAGCAGGCGCCTACACCACCCCCTGTAGATTTGTCTCAAAAATATGAATGCGAAACAGGCAGAGATCTTGCGGTCTGCCTGAACGAGAATCGAAATGCCAGTAAGAGAGACGACTTAAGGTACGCCTGTGTCTTCCACAGAGACCCAACGGGGCATTTGATGAACTGGTATGAGGCACAACTCCTCACCGAACAAGACCTTAGACGCCGACTCACTATTCGCCGTCACCGACACAATAGAGCGTAACACTGGAAACCACAAAATTTCTAAAACATTAGCATACATGATACTCAACCAGGCAAAGCAGCACCTACCCACCAACACAGGAGTCACTTCGTCTACCAGTTCTCAATCCAACATGGCATTCTTCAGGTCACCATGCGTCACTCACACCTCACTCTCCGCCTGTGTACATTGTCTTTCAACCTCTGTATGTTAGGAGTGATCAAGGTCCCAGGACAGAAACGTTTTCTATTAAATATGCCCTGTACATCTACAGAGAAACCCAGATGTAGCACATGTGTTAAATTCATCATGTCGGTATTGTGTACCACTGACATAAAATCACAAAAAAATCAGGACATATGGAAAGAAAAAGGCAATTAATGAAGGAGAAAACTGAGACCACAGGACAGGCTGGGGCTGATAAGAGGAAGGGCTGGAGAAAAGAAACTTACTACTACTAATACTACTACTAGTAATAGTAGTAGTAATCGCAGTAGTTGTAATGGTAATTTTAGCATCAGTAACGGTAGCAGCATTGGAGCATCGGTGGTAGAGTACTAGGAGTAGAAATAGTAGTAGAGAGTATAACAGCAGTGAAAGAATTTGTTTTACTAGTAATAGTAGTAGTAACAACAGTAGCAGCAGCAGCAGTAGCAATAATAATATTAGTAGTAGTAGTTATAGCAGTAGTAGCAGCAGTAGTAATAATATTATTAGAAGTAGTAACAGTAGTAGTAGCAGTAGAAGTACTAGTAATAACGGTAGTGGTAGCAAAATTAATAGTAGCGGTATTGGCAGAAATAATAATGAGATAGTTGCAGTGGTTTTGTACTTGTGACAGAAGTAATAGTACATAGTGTAATAGTAGTGAAAGAACTACTCTAAATAGTAACAGTAGTAGTAATAGTAATAATAATAATAATAATAATAATAATAATAATAATAATAATAATAATAGAAGAAGCAGCAGCAATAGTTCCAGTAGTAGTAGTAGCAGTAGTAATAGTAGTAATAGTAGTAGCAGTAGTAGTAGTAGTAGTAGTAGTATGTAGCAGTTAGTAGTAGTAGTGTAGTAGTAGAGTAGTAGTAGTAGTAGTAGTAGTAGCAGTAGTAGTAGTAGTAGAGTAGTTTGTAGTAGTAAGTAGTAGTAGCAGTAGTAGTAGTAGTAGTAGTAGCAGTAGTAGTAGTAGTAGT